CTGTAAAAGCATGCAAGTATAGCAGCCACCAGTGTCTGTAACCCCAATGATGGGCGGGAACAGGAACTTGTCAGGGTAGGGGTGGGAGAAGAAGCTGGATCCCAGAAGCTCACTGACAAGTAAATATCCAGGTTTAGTGAGACTATGTCAAAAACATTAAGAAAGGTGGAAAGTGACAGAAGAACTTCAGTAATGATAACCTTTGGCCTCCAAATTTACACATCCACACCCACAAAATTAAAAAGGTAAACTGTTGTTTTTTTAATGGACTCTGGCATAAGCAGCATATATAAAATCAACAGCAGGAACATCTTAACTTGGATTTGGAATATTTCATACTTTGTATGAAACTATAATTTTAATGGGGTAATGAACAAAACTCATAAATTTAATATAAGCCTGTTTTCACCCTACTATGTCATTTTGTCTACTTTTTTTTAAAAAGTTTCCACTTATAACCTACAAGAACTTTAATTTTTTACCTAAGTATAAGGCAATCAAAGAAAAAATAGTTATATATATAAAAACGATTAACATAAAAGGCAGTCAAGCAGTCATGTAACATTACTTATGGCTGAAATATGCCAATGAGTATACTTTGCTACATATTAAAGCAGAATCAACAGCAAGCAAAGGTGGTTCCAGACTTAAGTAAAGGACAGCAGCACCACCCTGTGGTTATAGGGAAAAGCACACTAGCCAAATATTCTGTTTTATTCCACTTTACATAGGAAATTAGAAGAAAAACTATTAGAAAAATCCCAGTAGAAAAACAAATTCATCCCTCAAAATACCAGCATAATTACTGGGCATACACACAGGCAAATTCTCAATACTACTTGTTTGCACTGATGTCTACTACAATCTATTTAATCATCATACGGAATATTAAGAACATAGGTGCATACACATGTAGGAAAGGTGAAAGACTGGAAAACTGTGAACTCTCAGTTAAGTTTAGAAAACCTTGATTCTTCTTAAGAGTTTAGTTATTAAAGAATGTCAGTTACTAACTTGTTCTAGATAATCAAAATCACACAACTGAAAAGTTTGTTTTAAACATAATACTCATGCTCAACCAATACCCTTACCTACTATTCTAGGACTATGAGCAAACATTCTAATTAGTACCAGAACCTCAAAGCCCATGCACATCATTCTAAATTCTAAAACAAGGTCTCCAGTACACATGCCTGTAATAGCATCTCAGTTAAAATTCACCATTCAGCTGTGAAGAAAGCTCCACTGATAGTGTGCCATGAAAGCATTGAAACTGAGTTCAGGCATTGGAGCAAACCCATGGGAAAATACTAAGTGTGGTTCGACAGCCTGGAATACCAGTGCTGGGAAGCGAAAGGAGGAGCCCGGAAGCTCACACTGGCAAACCAATCTACCTTCATTGGTAAGCTGCAGGTTAAAAAGACCCGTTTCAAGGATATGGGTGGCATTTCCAAGATAACATCTGCTATGGGTTGTCACCTGGCCTCCATATATATTACTGGCACTACATGCATACATATACAAAAGTAAAACAATAAAATTATTCATTCTTCTCAAGGACTATGAGAATTATTTAGGGAGGGTGGAGTGAATAGAGTTAAGCAATGTCTAACCCAAGGCAATAAAAGACCAGCATGGACAAAAAACAATGATTAAAGAAAATGCTAAAAAGAAATGAGAAATGGTAGATGCCTGGTAATAGAAAGCAGAAAAGAAGATGAGTTTGAATTCTATTATATGTGTAATGAGAACTTACTTCACAATTTTAAAACTGGTGTCCATATCTCAGCTCTATCTGGAGAACAAGTTAGGAATGTATGGTGTGGGAGGAGACAAGTAACAGGCTCTGTGACTTTTTTGTAATAGCCAGGCCTATTTTATACCAACTACACTTAATTTATACTTATAATGCAATAGCTTCTCTAGAGATCAATTATATAACAAAGTCTGTTTTGGGGCGTGTGTCAAACACAGTCTTGCAATGTAGTTCAGGATGGACTTGAACTTATGATCAGTCTGCCTCTACCTCCAGAGTGCTAGGAATGCAGACGTATGTCAGTACAACTAGCCACAATAATTTTAAATTACTTGAATTAATTAAAATTAGAATTGCTTCTCAAAATATTTTAAGTTATTTTTATTGTGCCAAGTAACATCCAAAATATAGTAAAAAATACATGAAAATGAAAACCATGCAAATAAAATTCTTAACTTATCCCAAACTTAAATATTAATTTTTATACTGATCGTGCTTATTTTGTAAATACTGTTAACTGAACAAATCATAAAACTATATTCTTTACACCTGAAGCTCAAGCATCTTTAATAGTAAATGAAAATTAGGGAATGAGGAGAAAACTTGGCCAGGAAAACAACATTCCCCAAGCATTAGGAATTTACAGTATCAGCAACCTGGGTGGGGATTAGGATCTCAATGCCTAAATCTTCTTTGGGAAATGAGCTGTACTTAGCCAACATAGGTGATAAGGAAATGACCCCCCACATTCCTACCTGACATTTCTTATGGACACAAAATGTGAAAGAGAATTGTCTCTTTCAATATGCTAATGGCACTCATCTATGGCAACTATCTCTCAAGAGTTAACAATGCTTGGTACTGAGTAGTTTTCCCCTTCTATTCAACACTACACCTTTCATCTTTCAAGGAATGAAGAACATTCCTTGGTCAACTGCTTCACTTATCAGGGTCTAATAAATCACTAGTGAAGCAAACTGGTGTTTCCAGTCTTCACTAACAAAGAATGATGTATCCTATCACAAGTTGAAAATTAGTGGGATAGTAATGACATCAGTCCCAACTGAATGTATATCTTCCTTTGTGTTATTGAGCACTTAAGCTTTTAGCTAACAGAACTGTAAGAAGGAAGGAGAAGGCTTTAATCAAAATTGCTAAGGGTCAAAGACTTATTAAAGCATTAACAAGAAACAGATTCTTCAATTTCTGCTCAACTATCTTCCCACCATTAAAAACTCCAACTAGTAACAACTTATTCAGTAGTGACCACAGTCAATACTGCACAAAGCTGGTTGTAAAATCTGCTCGTTTATTTCCAGGCAGACTGTCTCTAGTTGTGCTGCCTTCCTTCAAGTGTTAATCGCCTCTCCACTAACTTCTACTTACAAGAAAAGCTCATGTGAAGATTCCCCAGAGCTACAAGCCCATGTGGACTATTCTTCACTATTACCTATATTATTATATTATATAGTACATTATTACATCACATATTGTTACATTATTATGGAATAAGCCTTCTATAATACCAGGTTATGTCTTTGGAGCTGTGTTTCAGTAAGGTCTGTTACCTTCAAATTTCTTGTTGAAATTTAGTTGCCAATACCACAGTATTGTAAAGCATTGGGTGCACCCCCTTCATGAATAAGTTGACTTTTATCGCAGTCCCCAAGTATTTCCCTGAACACAGAACTATGAGCCTAAATAAACTCTTTTCTTCACAAATTAGCTTCAGTACTCTGCAACAGCAAGAAAAAAGAAAAAATACCAAGGCAAATTTATGTGCATACCTACAGAGAAAATGTAGCTGAAGGAGGTTAAAATGGCACAGTTCCTTTATCTGTGGATTTGGGTTAATGTTAAAGGAAATCCATTTTCTTTCAGTTAGATGCAAGGGTCTGTGTTTATAAGTCTCCCGGTTTACAACCACCTATTAGTTAAGATCTGAGACACAACACACTTAACCACTGCGTCATAATAATGAACCATTACCTGGAAAACTAGTCTTCATTATATCAATACCAACTTGCAGCTCAGGTTCTGCAGCAAGAACTGCATAGTCCCCTTGATGTGAGATGTTGAAGTTGAAATTGGGATAGGGATTCAACGAGTCTTTGGCAAGAACCGGCTTTCCTTTTGAAGTTCTTTGCAGACGAATGTTATTCCAAGGGATATTTAATTTCTCTGCAACTAACTTCCTTATCATCAGACGACCAGCCTGTTAAAACACATAAAACATACAGTATGTATATACTGTGGTCCACCATCCGCATAAAGGCATTGCTTACAAAGTGTATTTGGTAATTTATAAGCTTTTCACTTCTGAAGCATATTCATTGCTAAACAAACGATTACTACACAGGCCCTGCCTCCAGTTTCAGGTGAAGGGGCCTCCAGAGGCTACCTCACAGGGAAGGCTTGCTTGGGAGATCCCGAGCCTCAGGGGAAAGGTAGGCGGGAGAGGGTCGCGCACGGTGAAGCCCTGCTGGCCACGGCACGAGCGCGGGGCTGCGCCGCCCTGCCCGCCCCCCAAGCCCACAGGCCGCGAGTACCAGGGCCGCCTTGGCGTCGCGGGCAAACACGAACTGGCCGATGCGTTCCTTCTCCTCGGGCTGGATCGACCGCAGCGCCAGCAGCCATTCGGTTCGACTGGGCAGCCAGGTGCCGCAGGAGAAGGCCCAGCGAACGCCCTCCATGGTCGGCACGATGCACAGCCTCTTGGCCGGGAGCACCATGCGCCTCCCAGGGCCCGCCGCGCCGCAGGCCTGACGGCGGGACGCAGGCGCTGCCATGCCCCCTTCACCCTCGAGTCTGCGCAAGGCAACTGCTCTCCACCCCCTTTCGCGCGTCAGCACCAAGAAGTTGGGCGTCCAGGCGTGCGCAGACCAGGCTCCACCCCATTCTCAGTGTGCGTCGGCCTGGGGGCGTGGCCTCGTGCTGCTCATCCTGAAGAGGGCCGGGCTGCTGGGGGAGCGGGGTGGGAAGGAGGTGGAGAGAGGCTGCTGGGAGCTCCGCGGCTTCGCGTGACGGCTTGTGAGCCAGGCTCCGCAGCCTCGAAGGGCGGGACCAAGGCCTCTCAGCACCGTTCGGCCACTCACGGCGCAGGAAGTGCTGACGGGACAGTCGCACGAGCCAACCGCAGCCGGAGCTCTGCAGGCCAACCTGGGCGGAGACTTCGCGCAGGGGCCTTGCAGGTGGGTGAGCCGCGGGGTCTGCGGGGAAGGGGGCAGTGGAGCCTTCTTCCCGGGCCAGGGGGTCTGCGAGCCTCAGCTTCGCTGCAGCCCAGGGATGCTCCAGAGAGGGAGGCTCCGCAGGAAGGAGCCTGGGAGTTGTGTATTGCGGCGGCTGGAGGTGACCCTCCCCGTACCTCCCACGCCCTTCTACGTTGAGCCGAGCCCCCAAGGGTTCAAGGCACGACTCCCGCGCGCACCTTCAAGGCCCCATGCAGGTTTCAGACTGGTGTGCAAAGGCACACCAGTGCATTTCTGTTTCCTAGGTTGCTGTTGTAGACGGATGTTAGCGGCTTTTCTGTGAACATGCAAAGTCGTGGGCGAGTTAGAGTCCAGGGCAGAGTTGGTCTCTGCGGTTGAATATGGATTCCGCATTATATAGGTGTCATGCTGAATCAGCCTGTCCCCTTCCTAAGGCTGCCTGGAAGGATCTGCAAAGGCCAGCAGTAATCTAATCTCCACAACTACTGCTGGCTTTAGTCTTACCCTTAAGCGTTACAATTAACATTTCTGTGACATGACAGGCCCCCTCGAGTTTTCCTCAGGTGCTTGGGGTTTTTGAGTGTGTGCTTACACACAGACATTGCGATCTTGGTGTAACATCTTGCCTCTTCAAAGCGTGATTGAGGTACTATTTAAGATCTGAAGAACGTTCACAATGTGACAGGGTATCTACAGCACACAGAAAAAGCTACAGTAAACAGTGTGAGGATGAGTAAAGTGAGCAAGTACTAATGCCTATATCAGCAAATATAATTGTTATGCCAAGTTCGTGAGATCACAAAAAGACCACCAAGGAGCCAACTCACTGATGCAAACCCACAAGGTTTAATGTTAATCTACAAGCCTCGGCAAGGACCCTGTCCAGCAAACTGGCACAGCACCTGCAGGAAAAGGGTGTCTGGCCTCAATTGTAAGGGGTTTTTAAAGGAAAAAAATTGCAAGCAGCATGGTACGTGCCTTGACTGTTCAGGATTGGGTAAGAGTAGGTGACCTTTGGATTCATTGATGTAGGCTCTAAGGGAATTTCAAAATTATTACTAATGGTTGCCCACAAGGACAGTTATGACAAGATGTTATTTACCAAAATTAGTCATTGCCTGACAACCCGGATGGGCTCACTTTGACCTGGATGGGCACAGTTTGGGTGCCCCTTGGAACTGTTTATAGTTCCTTGGCTGGAGCTGAATCAGCCTTGTGCCACACAGGGAATGTCTCAACCGTGGCTTCCAATTTACCTTGCTCCTACAATAATAATTAAGGTTTCTGCTTTGCATCTTATGGAATTAAGCATCCTATTACACTGTCTCCTTCCCTGTGTTTTTAATGATAGTGACACCGGCAGCTTGAGTATGGCAAAAGAGGAACATGACTAGGTTCGTGGTGACTGGAGGTTATGGTATCAGAGTATTGTCAAACGTTTTCCTGGATAAGGAGTAGAAAAATACAGTGGTGGCTTGGGGAGAATAATAAGTCAAGTGATAGGGATGGAGATTTTTGTTTGTTTGATATTTACTTACAGGCAAGAGTTCTAGAATTTGCATGCTTTGGAAAGTATCTAGCAGAGAAGGAAAAATAGTGTGTGCCAGAGAGTCCGAGGTCTCATCACCATTCTAGCAATCACTCCAGAGTAGTGAGTAGATAATATTGCTTCTTACCATGTTCCTGGGCTAGAGATACAGCTTACTATTAAAACTCATGTCTTGTTGTGAGTTTTTAAAATGGTGCCTTCCACAATACGCTGTAAATGTACTAACAAATAACCTTCCTTCAACTTATGTGACACTTATGAGTAGAAATATATTCTAAGAACGGAAATAACATCAAAACCCTGCAATGTTAGTTAGTGTTTCTTGATTATAGAATCACAACTCCTTTACTTGCTTTCTGCATCTCTGTCTCCTGGGAACTGTACTGGCCACCTATAATTTTCTAAAACTGAAGGACTCATTTTTCACTTGAGAGCTTTATTATTTTTCTCTCACCAGTGATTTACCTTTTCATCATGTAGTTCTCCACAAACACAGCCTCAAAAAGGCTGTGGTGTTGTAGTTGATGATAGCAAGGGCTCCAGAATCAGACTATCTGACTTTACATTCCAGCTCCCCACTTACTCGATGATGTGACTTAAGTTAGTACTTGAACTAGCAAAACGTCATTTTCCCATTGATAAAGTGAGAGATAATGACAGTATTTGCTTTATGTAAGTAGGTAGAGGAGCTAAAGAGGATGCAGATGTCAGCACATCCTCTGGATAATAAACAGCACACCACTGGAAGATAAACAGAAAAAGAAAGAAAGAAAATGCAGGAAGTGTAGTTGTATTTCTGCCATAGTCTCCAAAACACCTCTAGTTCCTACTCAGTGCTTTTGATGGCTATTCTTGTCGTGAACTTCACTACATCTGGAATGAACTACAATCCAGAAATGGAGGGCACACCTGTGAGAGATTTGCTGCTTGATTTGAAGTGAGTGAATCAACTTCTAGCCAGGATGTTTTGAGATGGAAGACTCACACCTTTGATCTGTATATTGAATCAGGAAGACACATGCCTTTAATCCAGATCTTGAGGTGGGAAGACACACGTTTAATATGGTCCATACCTTCTTCTGGAAGTCTATATAAGGACATAGAAGAAGGAAGCTTTTGCTGTTTGCCTATTTGCCTCACTTTACTAGAGCATCATTCCCTTCATTGGCATTGGATCCTATGCCAATGAAGGGATTTCAGCATATACAGAAGACCAACTGAAACCTTGTGGACTTTGTATTCACTGCTAGCTATTGTTGGATTAGCTGGACTGCAGCCTGTAAGTCATTCCAATAAATCCCGTGTGTGTGTGTGTGTGTGTGTGTGTGTGTGTGTGTGTGTGTGTGTGTGTGTGTGTGTAGAGAGAGAGATAGAGAGAGAGAGAGAGAGAGAGAGAGAGAGAGAGAAAGAGAGATTCATTCCCTAAGTTCTGGGAGTCTAGAGAACCCTGACTAATACAGTACATTTGTATAAATAACTTGAATAATAAACTCTGGATACCAGTGACTTGCAGCACTAGTAAAACAAAGCCCAGATGAGGTTGAGCCCAGCTCAGCTTTAGTTTATTTCCTTCTTTCAAGTAGCACATGCTTTTCTGTCATTACTCTATAAGGATTTATTGGTGAGCCTAATTCTTGAGCTTGTAAGTTTTTAAAATGATTTTTGTAATTTCAATATAGTCTATGTTTGGAAGTTACTTCCATGAACATTGAGCACATGTGTTCTTTTGCATCGTAGTTAGTGATGAAGGAATAGCACAGAGAGTGTATGAATTAGGAATCTGTCTTAGGAGGCATCATGGAGTGGATCACTCCTGTGATCTTTGTACATATAAGAGGTTGAGATAAAGGGTTACCGTTCAAGGTCAGCCGGCAATACATGGTGAATTCTTCCAGATGCCGCTGGCTGTTCTCTCATATCTACAATAAAAACCTTAACCGTGTTGTAGAGCAGTAATGTTGGCAGTTTTTTTTTTTTCTGCACCTCCTCACATTTATGTGGTACAGAAAACTGGAATATATATGAGTGTTTCACCCCAGGTATATGCAAAGGGGTGCAGTAAAGACACTGCCATTTGTTTGTCTGGTTGGTTTGGTTTTGTGTTTCTTACTGTGCCGAAGAGAGAAAATATCCAGAGGCATTTTTCACAGTCCAAAGCAGAACAGGAGAGGAGGAGGGAGGGAGGGAGGGAGGGAGGGAGAGAGAATAAGAAGTAGGGATGAAGGGAGCAAGAGATGGGGGGAATTAAAAACAAATTGGATTTAACTGGAGGAAAATCTAGGAAGTAAAGAATGAAGGAGAGTGGACATGGACAGGGCTATCTATGGGAAGAAGGGATAGTAGCCAGAGATGGAGACTAGAAAGAGCCCAGAATAGTGACAACAGTCAGGTTGTAAGGCTGAGGAATAGAAGCTTTACATCTCAAAGGGAAAAGTATCCTCACAGTCAGAAGCCAAGGAATACCACAAACTCAACAGCACACAGCAAACCTCACACAAAAGATTTATGGGGAGGGAAGAACCCAGAAGGGTGGCTGCCTCTACTAGGGGAAAAAAAAGCAGAGAATTGAGCAGAAGGCAGGGCTTATGTAGAGTTTCTTGGGGCAGGGTGTTGTGGGGAGGTGGACCTTTTCAGGGTGAAGCTTTCTAGGATGGGCATTGGTGGGATTTTATGTACAGAACTTGGGCTTTTTACTCTGTAGGGTGAGGGCTGGGTGTAGCTATTAGGACAATTAGTGCTCTGTGGATGGAACCTGGCATTTGGAGGACCTAAAAGGTGGGGGGGAAGCCTGGCCATTCCTATGCCTCAAGTGGCTTACATTACCCTCTTTTTTGTTTATTGTTGATTAAACAGATTATGGGAAAGAAAGGTGATATTATCATTGGACTACTTCCTGTTGGATAGGGGCATTGAAGTCCTTTGGGTGAACTTGATCTTCACCATCAGGGTATAATTGGGAGGTGCTGGCCTCTTACTCTGTGGCTAGGGACCTGTAATCCTGTATTAGCAACTGATTAAAAGTCCGGTTAGAAATCTTTTGAATGCTGTTGAAGGAATCTAGGTAAGTTTGTAAGGAGGTGTTTGTCTAGTAGGATTAAGAAAAGGAGAAAAATTCCATATTAGACTGTCAGTGAGCCACTGGCCAAACGCATCTAGCTGTTTATGTTTTTGGAGATGTTTCTGGAGTTTTCAGATCTTGTCTTTTACTATATCTGGTAGAAGCAACATTACTCCCAGAGGAAGAGACAAAGACCACCTCTCTCTGATGGTAGTAAATCTAATCCTTGCTGATTTTGTAGCACTTATTCGTTGATCTAGACTTACTTGGCCCTGGAGTGTAAGGATGGTCTAGCCACCCATTAGAGATCCTGGATGAACTGAGAGGAAAATGGATGGTAGTCCACAGATCCATTGGTGACACACAACTGTGGTTGTACCCAGTGTTGTTCTTTGAGGCAGCTTCAGGCAATGAAACAGGATCCACCACTGAACTCAACAAACCCACATGGAGATTACTGGGAAAGGGAGCAAAGGGAGGAGTAGGTGTTAACTGCTCCGGAAGCAGAAATGGAAAGAGAAAACAACAAGCAGGAGGCAATTGTTTATATAGGGGACGGAGCAGTTTAGAACGAGTCTCAGCAGTTGGGGCCATTGAAACTGGAGTCATGGAGCTGCCATTGGCCCAGCTCCATGTGGCACCAGTTCCACATGGTTTCTGCATGCAGAGTCCTTATGAAGCCATGCAACTTTTGACAGCTGTCAGTGAGGAGACATCACCTGTCAATAATGGATCCCAGGGCAAGGGAAGATAGCCCAAAGAAGAGCGATCCTGGGGTGGAGAGAGAGCCTGAGGATTAGAGAGTCCCCTCGACCAGGAAAGATTCTCTAAGGAGAAGGCACAGGCCCAGGAGAGGGCTGGCATCGATTGACAGGTGGGTGCTGAGGAGAAACCACTGGGGCAGGAGAAGGAGAGGAGTTGGGAGCTGGAACAGGGCCACCTTGCCCAGGACCCAAGGAGAGAAACCAGGATATCAACACCCAGGACTGCAAAAAGGGTAGGACCTGAACTCTTATTTCTCATCTATGCCACTATAAACCCTGTGATGGAATTTGGCAAGTTCCTCACTAGATACCACCCTTAGTTTTGGAAAAAGGAACTCCAGGACACAAGTCCCAGCACCCCAGCAGGTAGGCAGTGATAAATCTGAGTGCCATGGAGAACTGAATCATTGTGAATGTTTGGGGGGCTGGGAGGTAATACAAGGGGTTAAGGAATTATTGCAGTCTGTGGAGTCCAGTGTGCCCATAAAGCATGTACCTAAGTAGTTAAAGTAGTTTGTGATACCAAAGAGAGAGAGATGGGATAAGGCATGGTAGTGATATTTGGCTTAGAGCAATTATGAGAGTCAGAGAGTCTAATAAGACAATGGGTGAGACCACCAATGGTGGTCATGAGTTTGACCCAGGAGGGACACATAACCAGTATTCTCCAAAGCAGTCAGGCAGATATCAAACTGATATGCAGAGGTTAAGGTCTAAAATAAGAGATGGTATGACAGGGAGGTGGGATGTAAGGAACTTTGAGGAGCTTTCGACCGCATCTTCTACCTGTCTATACCTAGGGACTGAGAAAGTGGGATGTGTACTTTCTGTACCTTGACTGTGCCTGATGAATGGCTGTGATAAATCCTATAGTAAAGTTTACCAATACCCCTGTATCCCATCTGGGGTGCCATTGATCATTAATTAGAATGTAAAAGATTGGTCATTTTGCATAAAAGGTAGAATACTTTCCTGGATATGCATCATGTCTCCTACAGAATCAATAAGGATATCCTTCATAAGTCTCTGGCCAACACCAACAGTTATCTCTAGTTTGATCATAGAAAAAGCAAGCATAGGGGATAGGTGTTTTAGAAGTCAATGTAGGTATTATAGGGACAAGTATCTCCTTTTGGCAACCTGCTTGTGACCAGTCTCCAGACCCTACCATGTGAGTAGTCTGCTTGAACCATTAAGTATGGGTTTTCTGAACCTTTGAAATCTTAATATAGCATTAGCATAGAGGGGGGAAGAAATCTCAAACATTTTTCATTACCTTAAATCACTACTGCTTCCTTATACCTTTAGGACTTTCTTAAGCTTTCACATCCTCAGACCTTTATACACTTTCTTAGACCCTCATTGTAAATGAGCTCCATTTCACCAATAGCCTTTCCTGAGCTTTCTTCAGGAACTTCAGTTATGCCACACAGTGCCAGGTCTCAGTATCCCTCCATTACCCCGTCATGTCCTTTTAAAATTAATACCACCTAGAAGACTCTTATATTACAAAGTTTGGCTACCAATATGAATGAAGTACATTCTTGTAAGAATACAATGAAGGTGCAGGTTTAACACCTTATTAAACAAACATTGTTTTTTAAATATTATCATAAGCCCTTTTTGTCGTATTTTTTTTTTAATTTTTGTTTTCAGGACAGGAATTATCACACAGAAATGGAAAAAACAGGCATGAGGGTAAGCCCCAGTGAAGAAGAGACAAATAAGGGAGTTATGGGGAACTGAGTCAGCATTTGATACCCTGATAGAGTAATTTCCTGACCCTATTAGGACAGGTTCTTGGTTAAAGTTGGGAATCTCTTGGACGATAAACATCCATATGTAAGAGCTACCCCAGACAGGTATAGTTAGGAAGAAATACAGGAGAGAGTAAGTTTAGCTATAAAAGATGTTCACATCAGTTGTTTGTGTAGTGGCAGAAGTTGCTACCCTTGAAAGTTGAGCATGCCAATTTAGGTCATCAAAGTGTGCTGAAGCCAAGCTGTTTATACTAACGGTAGTGAGACTTTCATAAAATCGAAGTCCAGGAAGAAGAGGAGGAAGGGTCACAAAGCAAACTCTGTTGGAGGGAGTTTCTATAAGCTCCAATTGGGAGCTGAGAGACAAGAGAGAAGCCCAGGAGGACATAGAGAAGCTGTGAGACTTCCAGCATTGAACTGAGAAACGAGAGAAGTCAGAGGCTAGAGCCTGGCCATATAGATTTGGTATATTCCAGAACCCCTAGGGTAGGACAGTTCAGGAGAGTTGGATGGAAAAATGACGATCTGGGTTGGTCCAAGTAAAGACAAAGATAATTTGTGACCGGGGATCAAGAGGTATGGAAAAGAAGGCATCCTTGAGGCCTAGGACAGAGAAATGGGGGGGTTGCTGAGGGAAAGGTGGAGAGTAGAGTATAGGGGTTGATTGCTATAGGGTGAGAGGAACCACTGTTGAGTT